CTTAATACGGCTTCTGGTTTTAAATGCCCACTCACAAATTATGTTGTCTACTGCTTCTGTTAATGATGATCAACAATATCACACTGAAGTCTGATAATGGGGCCTGGATGATAATGACCTGAATGATAATGACTCTGTGGCACGGCACCAATCAACCTTGGGAAACTAGCATGTGTGCTCAAAAAGGAAAAGGTTTCGGGGCCGAAAAGATGGCTCGGTGGGAACAGTGCTAGCTGTGCAAGGCCTGGCATGGTAGCATACTCATCATCCCAGCATGACAGGAAGGATGGGAGGCAGAGGGAGCAGAATCCTTAAAGCCTAGTGTATGCAATGACAAACTAGACTTTCAATTAAGTTAGGAGAGGACTGTTGCATAACAGTTTCCTCCAAGATGGAAACCTTCCATCTGCCAGGGAAGCTCTTTAAACAGAAAGGTAAACAACTCCAAATAGCTGCAGGAAGTCCCTGAAACTGACCAGATTCACCCGGCCCCTCCCTGCCACTTCTCAGGAGAAGCTGCGCTGCAAAGACTCTAGCTGAACTGTCAAGAAGAGGCTCAGGGAGCTATGAGAAGGCTCTGAGACCAGACCCGCTGCCTGGAGGAAGCAGAAACCAGTCCAGCTGCCTCCAAGAGGGTTAGAGCAGAGACACTTGGGAAAGACATGCTCCAACCCATTGAGCTGCCTGCGGCTGTGCGGTGTGCTCCAGGTTCCCCAGCATCTGTGAACTGTCACCCGTGCTGATGATGCTGCTGTCCCTTTGTCCCTGTAAGTGACCCCAGCAAAACTCACAGGTTCACCAAGTTGGACTTTGGTGGAATTTCTACTTTGGTCTGCTGTGGGCTCCCTCACTGTGGAGAGCAGGCGTGCATTGTGTCTCCCCAGGAAAAAGTTTTGTCACACAACAAGGACTGACCCCTGAGGTTGCCCTCTGACCTCCTGAGGCACGCTGTGTCATGCACGCACCCTCACTCCCACAGACATAAAAATATACTCAGATTTTAACAAAGGAATCACCCAGGATATGTACATGTACAATGCCAGCTCTCCACCCCGCTCACTTTCCGGCCGTGTTCCTAACAAGCCTCAAAAAGCGACGCGGCGCTCCCCACAGGATTTCAGTTTTGGCTTCTCTCCTCACAGTTCTGCCTTTAAACCATCAGAGCTCAAGCTGCAGGTGCGTCAAAACGCACACCTCACACATCATCCCGCAGTCTGCTCCCCTTCTCATAGAACATTCCTTCTGCAGCCCCCCCCCCATGCATTTGCACTGGGTCTTTTCGGATCTTCCTGTCTGGCTGCGGAACTACAGTTTGATTGTTGGATTTCTATTTGTCGCTAAACGTTCAGAAGCATCCTCAATGTTGCAACCTCAAAATAAGTCATTTACTTTAGATTAGCTATGTGGGGGAAGTTCCAAGACCAGACAGACGCACACTGCATGCCTCCTACCCAGCTGTCAGATTCTTTTGTGTGTATAGTGGTATGAGGGGGTTTCAGGGACACCCCCCATCACTCACTGAACGTGTGGTTTGCACTGTTTGCTACACTAGCTAACCAGGGAGACCCCACCCCAGGATCACCTGTCTCCAGCCCCCAACTCTGGGATTACAGGTGTGTGCTACCCTACCCTGCTTTTTATCTGGGTGTCTGGGATCTGAACTTGGGCTGCAATGCTTGCACAGCAAGTACTTTTAACACAGAGTCATCTCTCCAGCCCTGAGTCCCCCAGTTCTTAATGTGTACATGAAAGGGCTGTTTTCCTCAGCGAGACACTGCTGTTAACGACATGGCATAGCTGATTTATAGGTTTTTGTCAGCTTCTCCTGATGTCTCTGGGATCCCAATCAGGACAGCACCTTATAAGCCAGCTCTCTGGCTTGACCTGGAATGTGTCTCCCACGGTCCCCAATTCTGACAATACTGAGAACTTGGCGGAGGCTGGTCACGTGGGTTTGATGTCTTTTTCATACCTGTAGTTTTACAAATGTGACTTTTCCTTGGTGGAAGTTTGTTCTCTTAATCGAATTTTGTCTCTATCTTATTTTTGTTTTAGTGGGTTTTTAAAAAAGATTTTATATTGTTTTTGTTGTTATTACTATTATGTATGCGTGTGTGCGTTTGGGTGGGAGGATGAAGATGAGTACCAGAAGAGGCTAGGAGAGCATCTGTGCAGCTGGAGTCACAGGCAATGTTGAGCCATCTGATAGCGGTGCTGGGAACTGAACTGAACTCTCTGGCCCTCTAGAAGCGCAGGAAGTGTGCTGTTAACCACCAAGCCATCTCTCCAGCTTCTTCATCGTGTTCTCATCTATATTTAAGGGTCTATCTTGAGGCATCTTGGATTTGTGGCTTCCAGGACAAGACAGAGTATATAATTTGTAATTCTAAAGCCTTGTGCAGGTTTTGATATCTTTAGATAATTTACTCTGCTATATTCCCCCTCCCCCAACCTGCCTTCATCTGAGATCCTGGAAAGAGCATATTCCCCATGCAAGTTCCTGGACCATGGAGCATTGTACACCTCCCTTACACATGCAGGTAGTATTCTAGGCCCTTAGCTCTATGCCTGGGCACTAGAGACCTGTGGAGGGGTGGTGTAACTCCGGGAGGATGCGCTGCGAATGTTTTTTTGTTCCATTTCTTTGCCTTGAGGAATTTTGACAGAGGCCAGCAGAAGGAGCAGGTGATGGCAGAGAGGGATATCGGAGTTGATAAGAAGATGTCATGGGAGCATGATGCCAGCAGACAGAGCCTGGCCCATGAGTACAGTGCCTGGGGCGTGGCTGTTACTCGCAGGCACTAGACTCCCGGGGCACACGTGGTCTCCCATTTCTGGGAGAGCTTGGTCTCTGAATGCGCATAAGGTCAGCTCCTCGGGGCTCTCAGACCAAGGGATGCTGTCTGACCCTGGAGGTTCTCATGGCCTGATGAAGGCAAGTTCAAAGTGACTGAGGACAGAGAGGCAAGCCTGCCCTCTCCCAGGACACGGGAACAGAGTGGTCTGTGGGTGTCATGAGTCATCATTAGCCCTTGGTTGTTTATTTTTGTTTTGTTTTGGGTGATATTTCTTACATTCTAAAGGTCCTTCCTTCCTTCCCCCATCTACTTCCTGATTTGATTTTTTCCAAAGGCATCATTTTGACTATGAGGCTAAAGTAAATGGGGCTTAGGAGCCCGAGGCAGGAAGAATGAGCTAAAAGTAGGGCATACTTCAACCTAGAGTGTGCCAGTGCCCATTGCATGTTTGGGGCTGTGTGGAGCAAACACAGTTCTAACACACAGGCTTTAACATATTTTTTTAACATATAGGATGCAGTGTCTGACTGTGAGGTCATTTAACCCTCAGAGTTCCATCGCATCTGGGACACAGATACAGAGATTGATAGAGATGTAGCCTCGGTCCTCCAGGGGTGTAAAAAAGGCCTCATGCACAGATGGAAAGGAGGTAGTGTAGGAAATCCCTCCTGATACACCTGGCCGGTAGACACAGGGCCGATCTTCACAGGACGGTTACACAGTGTGGGGTGAGGAGCAGAAGCACTTCCTGCTGAAGTGTCTGAAGGCAATGAGCTAGGTACTCTGACCCATCAGACTTGAGGGTGTTTTGGGGCTACGTGTGTGTGTGTGTGTGTGTGTGTGTGTGTGTGTGTGTGTACCTGTGCATGTAGAGGCCAGAAGACAACCTTAGGGTGATGTTACCCAGACATTGTCCACCATTTTGCTTTTGAGATATGGTATCTCACTAGCCTGCAGCTCATCTATTGGTCAGCTAGCCCCAGGGATCCTCCTGTCTCTGCCCCCCCCCCAATGCCAGGATTACAGGTATGCACACGCTGCCTAACTTCTCTTCTCCATAGGTCCTGAAGACCAAACTCGTATCTCCATTCTTGTACAGGAGACATTTACAAACTGTGCTACTCCTCCAGCCCTCAGATTACACTTTCAAGTACTCGTGAATCTAGGTGCTTTTGGACAGTCAATGTGTTACGTTCCCTTGGCATACACCATTCCCAGATATCTTCATCCTGTTGTTTCCACTGGTCCTTGTAGCCCTAGTCCTCGGGAGGCGGCTGTGACTGCCCTTGGAGAAGAGACCCCACGCTGCTGGCCTCCAGCCTGCAGAACTGAGTGGCCATGGCTTTGTGAGTTGTTTAAAACCTTGTCGGGTGTCTCCGCAGAGGTATAAACGACATGTGAATCAAGGCCATAATCACACCGAGGCCCAGTCTGACTCAATGGAATTAAGTGAGAGGAAGAACTCACCGTGTCTGGTGGTCCAGAGAGAGAGAGGGGAGAACTTAGATGTAAGAGGACAGTGGGTGTGGTGTGGAAGGCAACCCTGAGGAAGGGACAGGGCCCATAGGACTCAGACAGTGACCGTAAAGCTCAACTGTGAAACACTGAGCACGGAGACTCTACGACTAAACCAACTCCTGTCCAGAGATGTCTTGAAGGCAGCCAGGTCCATAGGAACGGTGCGGGCTGGAACTACATGTGGGCATCACTAGCAAGTAGATGGAAAAATTGGCCACAGAAATGGAGGCGGTTGCCTGGGGAGAGGGGGTAGGGTGAAAAGAGAGGATGCTTCAGGGACAGACTGCTGGACACTGACATTGGGTGAGAAACAGGCCAGAGAGCTTCTGGGGAGACAGTCGAAAACTGGGGGACCAGGAAAGTCCAGTGACAAGAGAAGAGGGGGCTTCCAAAAGGAAGGAGCCACTTGGAGCACTGACCGCTGCCTCTGCCCACCATTCTCCTTCGTCTTTATACACCTGACAGAGTACAGCTTGCTGTTACATCTTGGCGACCTGTTAGCCGCCTCCCGTGAGAAAGACCGTGCAAGCCTACTTGTCTGTCTGACTTCCCCGAATGTCATGACTCTTGCCATGGTGGGGCTGAGGACACTCAGCAGTGTGCCATCACCTGACCCAGGTACCGAGTAAGTGCAGAGGACCAGGGCTGTGAGGGCCATGCTCCAGGCTCCATGCGCTGGCTTACCTGGCACTCTCGAAGGTGGCAGATGCAGCCTTTTCTACAGCTCCGAATCCTACACCGACAGCGAGACCCTCTGAAATAGACACAAGACCCAGATATTAGGGCCCTCTACTGCTGCCTTTGTAGCAGGTAGGATTGCTTCAGGCGGCAAGTAACAGAAAATCAGTGTAATGGTGGCATTTTAAATCTAGGCTCATCAACTCCAGCCTGCTTCTCGTGTGATGTGTGGGGCTGAGAAAGTGTGTGTGTGTGTGTGTGTGTGTGTGTGTGTGTGTGTGTGTGTGTGTGTGCATGAGAGAGAGAGAGAGAGAGAGAGAGAGAGAGAGAGAGAGAGAGAGAGGAGAGAGAGAGAGAGCACAAATACAGATTGTCAACATGATAGAATTTAGAACTACCATGGAAATGAATCCATGGGCATATCTGTAAGACATTATTTCTTCTCTCTCCCTCTCTGCCTAACTGCTGTCCTCTGCCATGAGGCACAACAACACAGCTGAAGCCCCCAAGCCACCTCCGTGGGTGACACTGGATTATTGGGACAAGGATCTTCCTGGGATCCTCCCGGAGATTCTGGCCAGCTGAGGACAGGTGTCAAAAGGTGGGAAGGGGCTGAGGCCTTTATTAATTGACCCCAGACTCCATGCTTCCCTTTGGGGGGAAATTGTTCTTTATAGCCATAAACAACATCTGTTTGGCTCCTCTGCTAATTTTTCTCTTTCTCTAATCAGTCATTTTAATGTAAATCACAGAACAGCCTAGAGCAATGGTACATAAGTTAATCAGCAAGATAACCCCCTGCCCCCAGAGCGGCTCAGCCAGCACACAGCCCCAGCATGTACTTTGACATATGCATGCTCACTGATGCTTTGGGATGGGACAAAGGATGAGCAAAGTGACCCAGCTGTAGAGGGGTGGGCTGGTCTTGAACCCATGTCACTATCTGTCGTCGTTCCCAGAGTGCCATTCGATATCCAGTTTGCTGCCTGGGCTCATGGCTTATTTCATGGATGTGGCATGGCCCTGTGGCCACCAAAGACCAGCTTCTGCAGCTCCATTTCCTGCAGGCCGAATGCTTCAGCTCCAGGCCAGCTATGCACCTAAGGCAGACCACCAGCAGGGGGCTGTCCACTAGGGAACTTTCTAGACCCAAGGAAGCGAGCTACATCCAACATCTCGAAAGCATGGGACTGTCCTCGGAGGTGGCCATGGCTAGCTCTGGTGGAGAGGGGGTTTCAGTTACAGCACTTAACGGTGGGAGGTGATGTCGGGAGTTAAACGAATGAGACAAGAAGCTAAGGTGAATTACATATGCAGAAAGAACATCAATTAGAGAATCAGCAGATGGAAGGAGGAACCGCCGGTGGGAAAGGAAGGGAGTCAAAGTGCCGACTCCTACCCAGGTGTTCCACCGAAAGTGCAAATGAGGAGGGTAATTAAGACGAGATGCCCACATGCCTGGAATGTATATTAGGAAGCTTCTGCCATTGCCCCTGTACAGAGAGAAGAGGAGATAAACTGCCTGGACCAGTGAGGATGGCTGACTGCAGGGAGGACAAGCCGGTACCAAGGCTGAAGCTGCTGTAGCCACCAGAGCCTTGCCCTGAGACTGGGATGGGGCTGCCTGTCCCTAGCCCTGCCCTATCCTTACTGAGGCTCAGGGATTTTGGCAGAAGCAGGGTCGGAAAGATTTATTGTAAGAGCCACGGGTGGTAGATGGCTATTTAAAAAAAATTCAGGAAAGTCGTATTAGTGAATTCACAGGAATTGAGACAACACGCATAAGAGTTACAGAACCTCAGCATGGGAACAGGAGGTGGGCATGAGGTCCCACCCTAGCTAAAGAGCTGTTGGCAGTTGATAGTGGGTGGAGGAGGGAGTTGCGGCCTCTACTAGATAGACCGCCCTTCAGTGTGATCAAAATGTACTGTAGAAAATTCTCAGAGAGAGAGAGAGAAATAATAATGGCCTTTGGCTGAGACAGACCCGATCTTAGTGATGTGGCTTTGCTTACAGGGTGGACTTGTTAACGGCAATGGACCTGGGGATAGTTAAAATTGACTAAAATTCTCTAGGGCTTATGGCCAGTGCTTGAACAGTCTAGAAATCCCATCTCTTTTCCTGCCAGTTATTAGCACCTCCAACAAAAATTCAAAGCACTCCAGAACACCCCAGGAGTCTAAGTAGTCCAAGTCCAGGAAAAAGGAGAAGTCTTTTCTTCCTGCCTTAGGCTCCAGCAACTCTTGGCTTCAAGGGCATGGGCTAGAATTCGCAAGACTTTCTTGCCAGTCTTGCAAACATCAACACCTATGTGACTTCAACTCTGACAGAAGTCCTAGTTGCAACAGGCTTTTATAATAAAACACCACAGGCTGAGAGGCGCATCAACAAAATAAGTTTCTATCTCACACTCCTGAAGGGTGGAAGGGCCAAGATCATGACACCAGCAGATTTCAAGTCAGAGGAGGGGACACTTCTGGGTTTATAAATGGATCTACCTCCTCAATGTAGCCTCAAGTTTGAGGTGTCAACTCATTCATGAAGACTTCATTCTGAAGACTTAACCCTTGCTCTCCAGCCCCTGCCTCCTGAACCATCACACGGGTTGATTTTACCATATGGATTTTGGAGGGCTATACTAGTGGGGTTGCAGCAGCTGTCCTTCATGGAGGCTGGGGATGGGTGGGCTGGGAAGGGACACTGTGAGGCGAATGGAGATGCACAGTCCTCTTGGTTCAGCTTGGTTTCTCCCCTTCTAGGGCAGAAACGGCTTCCCTGGAGCTGCTGTGGAGTCAGCTTTCTGTTCGTGCCTGGTTGTGTTCCTTGTGTTGTGTGCTTGGGTACCCAGCGGTCTTAGCATGGCGAGGCTTCTGAAATAGGACGTGGTCATCCCGGTTGGGTGGGAACAGGGATGAGGACTACAGCGCTGTCGTATTCCCCCACTGGACTCCACAAAGCTCACACCGCTCGTAAATACAGCCCCCTGGGTAGTTTCCCACAGGAACAACTCCAGGACCCTCAGTCACTGAGGCCTCTGTGTCTCCTCTGTGTGCTGCTATGACGTCACAGCCCAGCTCCTGCCCCTGCAAATCCTCACTGTGTGCCGTTCATTCTCCAGCTGGGCCTCCAGTCTAAGTGTGCGTGATGTTAGTTCTAAAAGTTATGGCCAGAAAATGTCAACACAAAGGCCACACAGGAAATCAGAGGAGCCTCTGTGGCTTATCCTCTTCAATTTAAAAACCATTAAAATTTAGGCAACAGCTAACATTTCCTGGGGGGGGGAGGCCTCATAAATATTAACCATGGCCACCACTGGCAAACAATACCACAGCTAGCAATGCCAACAGTCCCCCGGAGGAGTGACTTGGAATGGACAGGCTGAGTCATTCCCAAGCCCATTGAGGATCTAGTAAGGGAGAAATTAGTTAAACCATGGCCAGATGCTCTTGAAGAATGACATTCATGGTTGTCTTCTGGCCTGTTCCACTAACATATACATACATGTGTACCAAGGTGCAAGTGCGCGCGCACGCGCGCGCGCGCACACACACACACACACACACACACACCGTGCAGCCTGAGGCCAGAGCCTTGCCATCGCACATACAGTCCCTCTTGGTGGCAGCATGAGGAATCACTAAATGACTGCTGGATGTGTTGGAACAGGGACACTTATTTATGGTTTTGTAATTTCTGTGGTCTTGACCCGAAGAAAATGAGAAGGAAGGATTTGTTTTTAACATCCTTGAGGACTCTTGAATAAAATTAGATCCTGGCAGTTCCTTCAGGATGATGAATAACCTCAGATGCAGGTTCATTTATCATGCCCTGGATTTGACTCGCACCACAGCATGAAGAAAAAAAAAAAAAAAAAAAAAAAAGAAAGAAAGAAAAAGGAAAAAAACAAAAACAAAAAAAGAAAAGGCTGTAAAATAGTCTGAAGCCTCTATCACTATTCCACATCGCTACCCCAAGGTCAGGCAGCAACCCAAACATGTTCTGGAGAGAGGGCTTTTTTTTTTTTTTTTTTTTTTTCTTTTCTTTTCTTTTCTTAGAAGTATCAGTATTTCACCAGGAGATTAACAGTGGGGGTGGGGGGTGGGAGAGTAACCTCCTGCCATCTGCATATTGGCTCAGCAGTGTGTTGGTACCTGGTGCCAGGTAGTAGCCATCCTTCTTGAGGTGGCCCCATGTGGCCACGGTCATGCTGGTCATGCCCAGATGAAGTCTGAGAAACTTAAACAGTGGCATCAACCCAAGGTTTAAAGAGAACTGATGGGCACAGAGAGGTGAGGAGAGTTTCTGGTACCCTGACTTGGAATAATGGGAAGTTAGCCAGAGAGCTCTTAACATCCAGAGGAACTGGGGGAAAGGGGCCAGAACTCAGAGAGCTATCCTGGTCGCATGGACACTAAATCCTCTCAGCAACTGCAGGGTTGCGGGCACTCGGGTGAGCCCGGGAGGCACAGGGAGCTGGAAAACTCTGTCTTGTTCTCTGTGCTATGTCCAGCTCCAGTCTGAGGCTTTTCTTCTTTTCTTCCTCCCTCCCTCCCTCCCTCCCCCCCCCCCCCCCGTTTTCTGCTTAGACCCTCATCAGTATTCTTAATGTGTCTGCTGCTACCATCTCCATATACCTAAACTCCATTTCTCAGTGGCTCTTCTGGGACTCAAGTCACATAAAAATGCTTCATTTTACATTCTCATTTGAAACCAACAAAGAGTCATACAATAGTTACACAACCTACTATTTTTAAGGATAAGATAGTTTGTGTTTCTGGGAAGAAATGAATCCGATTGCATATGAACGAAAAAGATGAAACCCAGGATATCACCCTGCTTTGTAAAATATTTTATCACTTTGAGAATTTCATACAATGTGTACATTTTGATTACATTCACCCTCCCTCCCCCAACACCTCACAGATCTGCCTCTACTTTTTGCTGCAGCTCTCATATATTTGAGTCATAGGACATGGAGCAATCCAGCTGGTATCAGCCTAGAAGCTTTCATAGTTCTGGAAAGTGCATGCTACCAGACGAGAACAGGTTGCTATCAATCAGAGTCAGATGTGAACC